CTACCTCTTGGTTTCAACCACTCTCTCTGAGGATCTTTTAACTTCTCTGACAAGGATATCAACCCTTGAACACCTGAATAAGCCTCTCAGCTAGCTTCAAAGTCTTGTGTAGCCCTTAATTTGTAATCATACCTCTTGATCTCCTGCATACATGTCAATGAAATGCAAATGATAATGCTAATGTGAATGAAATGAAACACAAGCTAGGTGAAGAAGTGTTGGGCAAATTTTGGGGTGCAACACATTGTGAATGATCACAATGCACATCACGCTCTCGACGCTTTTTGCTCTTCTTAACTCCCATCTTTGGCTTGTATTTCACCAGCGGTTGACACAAAGAAGTTGTAGATGGATGTGTTAGCACTCGAACCTTTTTCTTCATTGCCATCTGGCCTAGAATATCCAAAGTACTAAAATATATCTTCAACTCTTCACATTCTACTTCCAAATCCAAATGTGTATCGTTATCTTCATGAGTGACCTCATGCTCTTCAATGTTTAATTTCTTCCAAAATGCTTGAATTGATTCTAAAGGAACATGATCACCTTGTATTTGAAAACCAGCAAGTTGACACGCACATGATATGTTATTCTAATGAAGCAACCGCATGTATATTGGTTGCTTTCAGATGTATTCTTCCTTTTGTAGTTTTTCCCCTTCTCACAACTCATAATCAATTTATCTCGCATCCCTCGTATCCCATTTGTTTTATCGGAACGAACAATGATAACAACAAAACCGTGTTATTTAGCAATGGACTGTGCATATGCTAATACTTCATATCGGGAGGGAACTATTTTCCATTTGCATTATATAAAGAATAAACTATCAATGTCATAGGGAAGGAGAAAAAATATTTAAGCTTCGATAAAGTTAAAAAGAAAACATATAGCGTCAGTGGTGAAGAAATGTGTATAATCTATACAGAAACCTGTAGACGAGCCTTCTAGTTGTGGACCACACAAGTAAAACATTATTCTGTACTACCAGATTTATTGAATGTAGGCAAAAATTCTTGTATAGCAAAATTTTGGAAAATCGATAGTGTTTTATGTTTACCGAATTTTTCAAAATTAGCGTTTTTTTTTTGGTTTTTTCAAACAATTATCGGAATTTTCAAAATTTTCGGAATTTCTTCACCGACAATTCCAAAAAAATTTAGTAAAATTGCATGTTTTTTTTCTAAATATATCAAATTTTCTTATATTTTCGATATAAATGCAAACATTCTACAAAATGCGAAAAAAACCGGACCGGAATTTTTGTCTTAACTACCAGAAATTTAGAAAATTATAACTTAGTAAAAGTGAAAATTATTAACCAATTGTAAGTTTTAATTGATAAATAATACAAGGAACATTTTTGTCAATATGTAAATATGCGGGGATGCCAAATATAACATGGGGTTGGTAGGTTAAATTCTTCACTTCTTCCCATAGTCTTTGGAGATGGCATAACAAAGAGATCCATGATGAAAATTTCTCTAGACCTTCGTGTCTGATGACGCATATAAGTAATTTGGTGCAAGATTATAAGACCGCGAGAATTGCAACTAATATCATTATGAACTACCACAAAACGTTGAAATTAATAAAGTGGAAAACACCTCTGGTGGGGTGGGTAAAGCTAAATATCGATGGAGCTATAGACAAGAATGGAAATGCGGGTTGTGGGGGAATAATTAGAGGCAATGAGGGGGGTGGCTAGGAGTTTTTGCAAAGAGAATTGGTGTTTATAGTGTCTATATAGCAGAACTTTGGAGAGTTTATAAAGGCTTACAACTTTCGACTAGATTGGGATTTAAAGCTATTGTTATCAATGTTGATTCCAAACAAGTGGCAATGAGATTAATGCCAACAAGTTAAGTAACATCATTGGGGAAAATCTAATCACCAGAATCAGATCTTATTTCCTTCAAGATTGGGAAATGATAATCATCCATGTCTATCGAGAAGCTAACTTATGTGTGGATGATTTAGCGAAAAGTGGAATTAATCTTCTGACTGTTATATGTAATTTTGATTCTTGCACAACTTTCATTAATCACTTATTAGAGAGTGATTTGTTGGGGATTTTTGTTCCTCGTTTAATATTTGTATAATCTTGCACCAAAAAAAATTACACAACCAAAATCAAAAATCGAAAAAGTTGAGAAGTAAACTCGCCAGAATATTTTAAAAGAGAAAATCCTTGTGGCAAGTGCTGGAATTAGGGGTGGCAAAATAGAGTGTGCATTTTCCCCGTCCTTTAGTGCAGAGTGACCAAGAATTTAGACTTGCATCCTCTAATATGTCCTCCCTGCCCCTGCCCTTTATTTTTTTTGCGAATTTTAGCGAGCGCAATGATTAACATATATTTTGAAAATTTATTTTCCTACCCTTATAGTGTGCCTCGCACCTCTGAAAAATCAAAATTGCTCTCAGGTGTTACGGAGATCCATCTTTGGACGCACCTTTAATCATTTTACCCTTCATAAATCAACCAGCTACCCACTTTTTGGCAAATATTGGTCCAGAGATGCATCTACGAAACTTTCTAGGGTGTATTCGATGATGCATCTTTGAAAACACCACTTAGTGCATTTTAATTTATTTAAACAACATTATTTCGGATATGCATCTCTGAAATCTTATCTGCAAGCATCTTGGGCAGAAACATTGTCCTAAATTTGTATTTTTTTAAATCAAAAGTCATTTTAATCCGACTAACAATGTCATAATTCGATTGAAACATTAATAAACATGAAATCATAGAACAATGTAATGCATTAATTAAAAAAGCATCACATAATATTACAAACATTGTTCTCAAAGTATGAAAAATAAAACTAAAACATCCAAAATATAAAGAAAAAAAACATAATCTACTGTGTATGCCTAATCCTAACCACTAACTCTTCATCTACCGTCGGTAACTCAAGGCATTCCGTGACTCAGTAAGAATGGCACGTGCGAGGGCAACTGCATCATCTCGCCTCTCTCAGACAACCTAGAATTTATGCCCTGAGACAGCTCATACATGGTCATCCTTGGACTGCTCGTTCTCCAGGATCTCCTCATGAGCAAACATAGGTGGACGTCCTGGAGCATTTGGTGTCATGACATGGTGTGACATAATATAGAACCAAATCATGTAGTTATCCACATAAGACCACTGATTTGTGGTTGACATACTCTTAATACTCCTCTTGTACCAGATAAATCTCGTAATCCTTCAGTATATCATTAAGATGTCTGCAAAAGATGTTGTTAGGAGCATACTCGATGGGGGATTTGAGAATGATCTACACATGTTCAAACTGATGCATGCATCGCTACGAAAAAACACCTGAATTATAAAATAAGGATTAATTTGGAAATGCATTTGTGGACAAACCATAAAATACATTTGGAGATGTATTTCCAAATTAAATTTTGGCAAAGTGAGGGATGTCTTACCCTTTTGCACTTATTTTGTAGAAAACGGTGAGTTCAAAGATACATCTCCGAAAACTTATGATAGTTTTTACTTTTCGCCCAAAAGTTAGGGAGAACTTGTAAAGGTAGGAAAAATAAATCCCTAATTTTTTGTATTTTTAAACTTAAAGGATGCAATAGCCGCAAACTCGCCCTGCTCCGCCTCACATTTTTGCTAAACAGACCCAAATTATAGGTTCACACACTCAACTATGTTTGCTCCGTCTTAATTTTGCAGTCTGCAAAAGTTATATGTTCACACTCTCAACTACGTACGTCCTGTCTCAATTTTGCAGTCTTTTGCAGACAGACCTAAACAGAACAGACTTGCCACTGCTAGCTGGCATCACTACAAATAGTTGTGATTATGAATATGAAAATGAAAATTCTTGTTTTAAGTGTTTTCGTTGGCATGTTATATTACTATTATGTTATTGAGTTTTTTTTATAAATACCATTTTACAATCAACCAATGTGCAGTTTTTAATTATGAATGATATGTTCATTTATAAATAATTGACAATTTACAAAATTAAACTAAAATTTGATAGATATGCACTAACAATATAATTGTGCAATTTTTAATTATGAATGATATGTAAATTTATAAATAATTGACAATTTACAAAATTAAACTAAAATTTAATAAATATGCAATAACAATATAATTTGACGCTTTCATCCAATAAAAAACCAATAACCAATCATGTTATTATTAAGAATTTTAAAATGTAAGTGTGATATGACAAAATACATGATGGTCATTGTGCATCACCCCTTATCTCATTAAGTGTAAAAGTAATTTACACTATTCATTTTACAAAATAATATAAAACATTTTTTTCTCATTAAGAGGAAAAGTAATCTACACTATTCATTTCTCAAAATAATTTAAAACAAATTAAACTGTCATTCATTTTACAACAGTTCTTTTATGAAACACCAACGGAAAGTAACGATTTCATTATATTTCAACAAAAAAAATCTCAAGTGGTCAAGATAATGTACACTCCCCAAATTTAACACGTGCCATTTCCAGGACTAGGACCAAGTGTAAGTTTCATTCACTAAGAAACAAAATTACCGAGATCATTCAAAAGTTACGAAATATTACACATTGCAAATATACCAATTTGTAAACAGGTGCTTAACAGAGTTTAAATTATTCTCATCTTGAACATCAACAAAACAATTAAATTCAATGATATTGATATCTTTTGTTGTATTTACTTCAATAAAAACTATCGTAAGGGAATAATAACAGAGGGAAGCAACGGGGAAAGGACAGATATTTGTGAACTCTTCAAATTTTGGTTCATACTACAGTTGGACTGCCTATGGACTACTAGTAAACAAGTAATTTCTACAAAGCTAATTATAGAGTAAGTGTCTTGCTCACTAACTCTAATAATACTAATTCATTTCATCATATAATGTAGAGGTAAATAGCCATACGATTTAGAGGTCACGGCAAAATTGATGGAATATACATTCCTAAATTGTTATGGTGCAATGCTGGAAATGCCCAGAGAAATACCATTTTCCTAAACATAACCATTAGGCTTCGACCCTTTAGCATTTCTTTTCCCAAGATCAGCTTCATAATGTAACAATGCAGCATCCAGAGCCTGCAACAAAATATTTGTTAGCATTTCTCCACTTAAATCTGAGGCTGCAAATCAATCATGTAAGTGCCAAAGTGATGAGATACATGTGCAAGATAAACAGTAACCCAGCGAGGATGTGGTAACTGCCAAAAACGGCCAAGCATTACTGCACGAAGTGAGACTATTTGATTGGTTTCAAAACAAAGTCAATTTCACTCAGAAATTTTAGTCGGACAATCTTTCATTTGGTAGTGATTTCACACAACCAACCTACCTTTAAAGGAATCCAGGACATTGGGAGTAAGCCCAAAATTATATATGGTGATCAAGCGACACTTGAAAATACTATGAGAAATTTCATAATTATTTTATATCCTTCTGTCCTACACACAACTAAACTGTCACTCTACTAAGAGTAAAATGCATGGAAGGCGGGAGAAGGTTAGAGGGATGAGAGGAAACCAAATATATATTTAAAAGTCTAAACTACTAAGAATATAGCTTTTAAAGTTGTGATAAAGTATTTGGGTGAAAGGTAGATATGCCTTAGCCACACAGCAAAACAGAAAACTCAATAGTTTTTATATAATAGTTTGAAAACGGTTTATTTCATTTGAGTGAATACATGCCAACATAACTTGGAAGTTTACAAAACAACAAAGGAATAATAAAAAGCAAAATAATTAAGTGTAAAAAACTGTAGTGGCGCTTGTTAATACCCAACAAATGATCTTACGACAGGAACATAAATGTGTTCTGCTTTAGAGGTCGGTGAATGTTGTAAGCAATGACTCCCATCACACATGACACTTTATACTGTTTAGGTGATGATAATTTTCTCTTGTACCCCTATAAATTTATTTACTTATTTTGTAGGTTTAAACCCCACTTAGTGGGATAAGGCTTGGTTGTTGGTGGTTGTTGGTATTCCGTACTAACTTATTTTAGGTGGCAGGGTGCAGCCATTTAGGATGATGGGATACTAAGAAATGAAACACGGTCAAATGAAATTACAAGGAGCTCACCTGCTGCATTGGATGGACAACAAGTGAAACCTGGTGCCGCAGGTCTGACTGTGAAGATACCTTTATTTCCTAGGATTAAGCAAATAAAAATATGAACAAATTAGTACTGGTTACTAATAAAACTAATGATAGTGTCCGTGCAATGACAGAATAAAACGAAGACCCTATTCAACTGATGAATACTAGTAGATGCTTCCATTAAATACATACCTCAAGTTTAGCATATATTTGTGATATGGCATCTTTCAGTCTTCTGGCCTGCATTTTATTAAGTGAACAAAACATCAGATAGAATAAAATGCAATTCAGAATGTTTCTTGAAGAATCTTCATCAAAATATCTGCAATAATATACTGAATATATGATGCATATTCCCACCAATGGCATATGGCAGTAAAACACCTCTCTGCTCATCCAATGCCTAGCTGGCTATTCACCCCAGTGCCATTGATAAACTTCCATGTAAAGGAAATTAAAGGAAGGTTTGTAGAAATATTAAACTTACTAGAGTTTTCATTGTTGTTTAAACTGACTTAGACATCAATAAATAATGTTTAAACTGACTTAGACATCAAGGAATATCAAAAGGTTATTTGATGAATTATGCTTATCTTCTATTTGATTATAAAATGCCAGTTTTAGGCACGTATGGCATATTCCCGCCAATATACTGCACCTATGATGCAGATTCCCACCAATGGCATATGGTAGTAATACACCTCTATGTTCTCATCCAATGCCTAGCTGGTTATTCACCAGTGACATTGATAAACTTCCATGTAAAGGAAATTACAGGAAGGTTTGTAGAAATAATAAACTTACCTGAGTTTTCATTGTCGTTTAAGCTGACTTAGACATGAATGAATATCAAAAGGTCATTTGATGAATGATGCTTATCTTCTATTTGATTATAAAATGTCAATGTTAGACATCTGCTTAACTGGCCAGTTTTGTGGTTCCTCGACAACATATCAAAGCCCTTTTGACCTTTTCATCAAATGATTTAAGGCCTGACCTTGATATTTTGACAATATCTATAGACAGTAGTTGAATGGTTGCCAACGCCTTAACACCAACAGGCTTTTCAAAGCCAAGTCTAATGGGTGTTTGGCCTAAAAAGTTCATCACATGTACAAGACATGATATTAATTCCCATGTCAAACTCAAATTCTGGTTAGACCCAGCACAAGAGTTTATAAAATCAAGCAAAATTGTGATAAAACTGGTTTAGTGATTGACATATCATGCAAGCAAATAGAAACTTAATACAATGTAGGACTTAACGCCATCTTATCATGCTGCAAAAAAAAACTGGTCTTATAATGAAACGGGGAGAATAAAAGGTGGGCTAGATAAAAATAATAATGATAATTGCAAGCAAGCTAACATCTCAGACACATGAAATGTCAGTGCAGTATTAGATAGGTTATGCATAGTTATCACCAATGAAAGATCTCACTGAAAACCAGATTCAATATTCACCTTATTAGCAAGGCTTTGTGTTGTTACTGGATAGGAAGACCAAAAGTGCTTCAGTAATTCCTGACTGCAAACCCAATGCTGGAAAGAAAGAAGCATGCATTAAAATATATCAAACTTATAAATAAAAATGCATATAGAAGTAGAACTACCCAAAAAACTATATTTATATTACAGAACGCTAAACCGCTGATTGAGAAAATAAAAGCAACATATGTTACACTTTAGATCACAAAAGATATATAAAAGCTTATAAGACTATCTCCAGCTCTCTTTATCTTTTTTTTTTTCCGTCCATAATGACTCACATCTAGTAGTTTCTCCTTAGTTGCGTTGGGCAATATATCAAGGGCACTCTCCTTAGAACTTTTCCCAAGATTTGATTTGGTGCTTGAGATATTTTTGGTCAATCCAGTAAGGACCTGGAATAAAAATAAACCACACTCATTTTCAATAACAGAACTTTTGTTAACGCAGAAAAAATCAAAAAAAGAAAATGTGTTATTTTAATTGTAAAAATACCGAATTGTTATGGAATGCTTGAGTAAAATTCCACTCAGCTGATTTACTTGTATATAAACACTAGAATTAAATACAATGGGAGAGTTACAAGGACATTAAATGTAGCTTCTAGTTCCTAATGTAGTTTCTAGTTTCCAAATACTCCCTCCGTTTTAAAGGTTTTTGCACACAGATTAAAGAATATAATGATATTGTCATTAGATATTACACTTTTACTAAATTAGTCTTATTAATGTGTTGGGAATAGTGTACATAATAATAATTATAGGACACAATTGAAAAAATAGCAATTATTACTACATTGAAAAGTGAAAATGACATTCATTTTGAAACAAATTTTTTTTCTTAAAACGACAGTCATTTTGAAATAGAGGGAGTACATGAATGCAATGTTTTAAAAGACGAGAGTTTACGTGGGATCGAGAGAGATTTAAAAAATCGTAACTCGAGGATCGTAACACGTCGGAAGATTCTACTAATATACTAAAAAATATATATTTTTAAATAAATATAAATAAATATAAATATATATATATATATATATATATATATATATATATATATATATATATATATATATATATATATATATATATATATATATATATATATATATATATATATTATCATAGATTAAGAAAATAATCTTTAAATCACAATATTAAATTAATTAAGTTCATTATTTTTTATTTTTTAAGAGAATTAATTATTATAATTTTAAGGCAAAAATATTGTTTTAATTCTTTAAGTTACTTTAAAATATCAAGTTAGTCCTTTAAGTATTTTTTGTAACGCTTTGGTCTTCTATGTTAAGTAATATTTGCGTCGTTGACCTTTTTAAAAATTTCCGTTAAAATAAATTGTAAACTCATATACCATCTAAACTGATTTTTCACGCTAATCACGAATATGTAATTAGTTTTGCGTTTGATTGTGTATTTTGGTCGGATTGAACAATTTTCCATTATGTATTTGTTCACTTTTTCCCCTGATTCTCATGAATCGTAACTTGTTTGATAAATTTGAATGCATATTCGTGATCAGCACGAAAAACCAGTTCAAATGGTATGAGTTTGCAATTTATTGTAACAGATATTTTTAAAAAGGTCGACGACGTAAACGTTAGTTAATATAAAAGAACAACGTGTTACAAAAAAAACTTAAAGGACTAACTTGATATTTTAAAATAACTTAAAAGACCTAAACAATATTTTTGTCTAATTTTAATCAAATTTGGATTAATTATTATAGGATAATGCTAACTTATGTCCTAAAGGCACGTGTTAAGAAATTCATAAATAGAAAATTTGTATTGAAAAAAGTAATAAAAGAATTAATCATGAACTTTTGATAAAAATAATACACAAGTTTCAAAAAAACATTTCTATATTTCTATATTTAATTCTTAACATGTGCCCTGCTAGCATTACCCATTATTATAAGTATTGTTATTATTTGTTTCTTTTTTAAAAAGAAATAAAATTATATTTATGATGTGGTATACAGCTGAGCTGTCACATGCTTTGGAATAGTTTTGTTTGACTTTTCAACCCTCTTTTTCACATTATTGTTATTTATTGATTAAACATTTTCTGACCCCACCACTTCAACTCTTCTTCTTCTCCTTCTCCTTCTCGTGTCATCTTCTCATCATGTTTGTGCCTTTCATCTTCTTTTTCTTATTCAAACTCCACCGCTATACATCCTCTGCTTCCGTCACCAATCCAGGTCCATTATAAAAAGTTATCTTTTTCTTCTTAAAAACCCAAAAAAACAGATGCGCCGCACTTCAAAATGATAACGATTCAGTTTTTAAACTCGGACGAGTTTACCGAGTTTGCTCCATACGATTTTGCCTCAATCGAAGCACACCGGCATATGTTTGGAACGTAGGATCGGACGAGTTCAAGAGTTGACTCGCGATTTTGCATACACTGCATGAATGTGATTTTACTAGGCATTTAATTAGTTATTAATCTCTTAGAAAATATTTCAATTTATTTTGTAATTCCAACATTAGTAAAACATAGAGTATTTAACTATAATTTTTTTATTTTTCAAAAAGTTTGATTTTTATTTTAAACTAAGCAATACAAATGTCATTACCTTAATGGCAACATCAGAGCTCAATAGAGGATCCCTTAATCCCATAGTAACGATGTTAGATATTGACTCCCTCAAAGAGCCATAGGCTTCCTCATAACCCAAATTGCTTCTTGTTTTCATCTTAGCAGCTAGGGAATCATCCAAAGTTTTTACTGCATTCGCTTGTTGAAAATCAAAATAGTCACGAGGATCCTGAGCAAGAAACAACGTAAGAGCCATAACACTCAACAAATATTTAATCCAAAAAGAGAACTATTTAATAATGTACATATTATATATTCCATGACTTGAGCTATTTACTAAAAATACGAGATCATTTAATTCTCAAGACAAAGTAGTACCTTGATACAGAGTGGTGCAAACGCATTATCATCTTGTGCCTGAAGATCCTCAATCGGTGTCATCTTAGAAATTCTGATTAGCCTCTCCTCCTCTATAACCCCATCAAATCCTGTATAGTGGAATAAATTAAGAGTTTACTCAACATAAACAGAAAGGAAAAAAGGACAAAAAATAAGTTAGCCTCACTAACTCCGTTTTCTCCGAGCAAGCACTTCTGCCACTGTTCTTGGAGGTTCCATATCTTTATCTACATTTATGTTTGAAATCTGACTCGTCAGATTGGACAATAAGTATGTTGTACCCAGATTTAGATTGCATATTCTGCTTTCAATTTATTTTGGGACTGTTTTGAAACAATATAGCTAAGCAGAATATTATTAAGTATGCTGTGCCTAACTTTGAAACAATAAAGTTGGTCATAATATTTTGAAACAATAGGAATTTTAGACACTTGATAAGCTGAGGCTTGGCAATTAGAACCATCATTCTGTACAAGCACTAAATGATCTCCTGGAGGAACATATTTAAAAGGATGTATCTGAAAGTGTCCAAAAAATGTCCCATCTTATTTGTGTGAAGTAATTACACTTTGCATATGTGTAAATATGCAAACGAATGCAATGCAATAAATGAGTCAGCATATGTGGCAATAAGTTTCTATTTTTTCACTTTGCATTTGAACTATTCATTTTTGTAGAAAACAGTCATATATCAACTTCAGTATGACTACTAGCGAAATGCAAATTAATGATTCAATTATGAAATGTATATTTGTCAATCTTAACACATTTACAATCAAGAGACCATTTTTCTGCTTGTAGAGTCTAGTAAAAAGTAAAAGGAATGTATTTCATGCGATAGAAACACAAAACATATCCAAAATGATAACAGAATTTAAGAATGAATGACATTATGAAACAAAAGAATTCATCAAATGTGAGAAAATACCTATAGTTTTTCCTTCGAGAACCACCTCACTTTGTCTATTAAGATCTTGCAACAATGTTCGCCAATACATAGTATTTTGAGGTTCAGATGTTTCCTTGCTACCATCACGGAAGATCCCATGATTCTTTTCACCAAATAGACCAAAGAGTTAAAATACAAAATTCAATGCAGACTAGCAGTTCTGAGCCAACAATATAGATAAACTGTGCTACATGTAAAGTCTTGTTAATAACAAAATGATCAACATCATATGACACACAACTCATTCTTAATCTATGAATCACGGAAACCAGAAACACGACATCGACACTGACACAACGACATCGGTAATAATTTGAAAAGATGAATAAATTAAATGTAATCACAAGTATCGGTGTTGGACACTGACACACCTTTTTTCAGAAGTGTTAGTGCTACGTAGTTCATAATCCTTATTGTAGGCAGGAAAAAAAGAAGAAAATTAATCAGAGGCTACAGCAAAGATAAGAGAGCCTGCCTCTAAAGGAGAAGACAACCAAAACAAACTAACTCACTTAGTAATCTCACCAATCCCTCCACTTATCCAACAAAGAAACCCCCTCCAGGATAGCCATTATCTGAACATCGTAAACAGTTAGCAAGGCGAGGGTAAGACCAATAGAAGTAGAGGAAGGTGATTCCTAACCAATGAATCCTAAAACCTGGTACCACAACTATCCCCTAATTTGAAAGAAACCATGGAAGTGAAAGTGAAGGAAGCAGGTCATGTGAGCTAATTTTCCTTGGATTAGAGATATCTAAACAGTTATTAAATGACAACATCGAAAAGGATTCAGAACCTGCTTATCCATATTGTTGAAACTAAATAGATATAAGCATTAGCTGTTTCATTTATTTCTATTTTTATGGTGCATAGTTGTATCATAATGTTCAAGTACAATAGGCTACTATCCATTCTCGGTAATCAGCAGAGGTGAGACATAATTGTGAAGGGGCAGAAAATTTAGATGTGCAATCATTCATATCATCTCTCCTCTATTGGAGGAAACTCTCTCCTAACTTCTAACTATTAGAGAAGGATAATTGAAGCATAGAAGATGAGTTAACTGAGTTTTGTATTGAATGAACTCATCCAAGAGTTAGTTACACATAGGGTAATGTATATATAGATATTCTAATGCCAGCTGTTTACAGCTCAGCTCTAACTAACTAATGCCAGCTCAGCATAACAAACTGAGCTTAGAATAACAGAGTTACTACTATTATATTTTCCCCTCAAATGGATGAGTCTTCTCTATACTGTAGAGTAGTCTTGTCCACCACCCTAAGCTGGTCCCTAAGAGCAAGAAATCTCAGGGCTGAGAGTAGCTTAGTCAGAATGTCTGCATTCTGCAGGTCAGCAGAAATGTGACACAAAATATGTTGTTGAGTTACTACTCTAATACTAACTGTGCTCTCCTACCAGCTGGCATCAATTAATCAGTGAAACCCATTCTTGTGCTTGGATTTTTTATTCATTTCAGCATTGCACTTTGGGGATTGGACTATTTCTCCTGTCATCCTCTTCCTTTGCTCACATGGAGAAACCTTCTCTCGTCACTTTGACGAGAGAAGGTTTCTCCATGTGAGCAAAGGAAGAGGATGATTGACAGACGGTGTTCTAACATAACAACTTCGGAAGCACATAGCAGGTCAGTTGGGATGGAACAATGATGATTAAAGGGAAACTACAAACATCATCACCGAAAGTTTGCCTAGGCGCACATTTGAGCATTTTGTAGACAAGTTGGGCATGCTAAATATCTATGCAGCAACTTGAGGGGGGTTGGAGTAACCGTATTTTTTGGGTAAAGATCATCTACATTTCATAAAAAATGAAAGTTCTATTACTAATGTTGAATGTATAAAAGCAAGAATATGTGTATTTATACACTTAAAGCTTTAGTAATTGTATTCTCCATTTCTTTCAAGAAATGAGAGGATCCTAACTCGTATTTTTCCTATTTATTTATTTTCTATATTTAGTCTTATATTATAATAATATTCTCTTAGAATACTTCTTTTCTATATGAAGTTGTAATCTCCCTATTACCAGCTACCAGCTATTACTGAAGAATAAAATATAACAGTATTCTAAATTTTCTAATAGTTCCATTCACCCTACCGGAAGATGAGTGTAATCATCTCCTTGGTCTGCTTCCATGTCTAAAGTCGGATCAACCCGTCGAACCTGCAAAAACAGTGTAAAATAAATGGAACTGAGAATGCAACTACAAGATCTTTAACCAGATTAAAAAAGAAAAAAGAGGAAAACCTTCTCTCGAGATTCATTTTCTAATATCTCGTCATCTTTCAAAAAAACAGCAAGATCCTCATCTTCAGCAGCCTCAGCAGCTGCCGCAATAGCATTTTTGGTACTATGGAGATATTCAGCTCTAAAGTATTTGTTCCAGAAATCTACCTCACTCATCTTTAATTTGAAGGACATGAAAAAATAAAATAATTCAGTCTGCAAAGTACTGGATCAGTTTACATGAATAAATATAAAAGATCATAACGGACATTTGTTGACATCTATAATACCTTACTGGGTACAAAACTGAGGAATGCCTGGTGAACAGCTGGTTTGAGGGTAAAAATCTGGAAAGAAAACAATGAAAAGAAAGTAAGGAAATAGTCTGCGAGTCTTTTTTTTTTTTGAAGTGAAAGAAGAAATAATATTTGAAAAAATGAAAGAAATACAAGTGAGAGATAACAAGAAATTGCTCCAAAACAATTAAAATATACCAAAAAAATTTGCTACAAGGTTAGGTCAACCCTGATGTTGGCCAAGAACTCCAAAATGAATTCTCAACGTAGAAAATAAATTAATACTAAAGTTCAAGGGGAAGTATAAGAGGAGAAAAAAATCTATTTAATTTGCAGAGATTAGACAGGAGAGGAAAAAAAAGAAAGCTATAATAATTTGATGTAATGTAAAATACAATGAACCAACACCAATTTATACCAAAGAAATTATGTCATGTACTACTAAAAACCCAAGCCTACAAACTAAGAAACAAAGAAATGCATCAGGTTCCTTCCTCAGCTAGCAGACTGTTTTATCTGTATAAGTGACGCTCCGAGATATTCTAATAAAACTATCCATAAGAAATACAAAGCATAGACATAAGAAAAGGAGGAAAACAGTTCCAACCAATAAGACAAAAATGGAAGCAACGACAACCACCTTAAACACGAATGAGAAAATTTTCTCAAAATATCTTCTGCTGATATTGAGAAAAAGTATTCTCCCTAATTGAACTCTTTGATCATCATTGCGGTCAGTTTGAATGGAACAATGATGATCAAAAAGTATTCTTTACGACAGCTTCTCCCTAATTGAATTCGAAAAAGTATTCTCCCTAACCTTCAATCCAGATGTTGCAATTAGGCGGCTAGGGTGGATCGCAATGTAGGTAGAATTTCCAACACTTAACTTGAAATCTAGTGAACTACCCCCTCTGATTTACTAGTATATTATAAGTCGTTTTGTCACTTTCATTGATATTAAAAAATGTAACTAATGCCGTATGAAAAAGAGAAATTACAAAAGGTTTTACAAAATTATCCTTCATTAATGGTGTGGAAAAGATAAATTAAAAGAATTGAAAGAAGAGAGAATAATAAATATTTAAGAGTATAATAGATTAAGTAGCATTAATGATTCATAGGTATTGTAAAATGACTTATAATTTAGTGCAAAACTTTTTCCCAAAGTGACATAGGATAAAAAAACAGGAGTAAAAATGAGCATAGTTAGATGAAGACTTAGATGAAAACGCATGCCTGATGTTTTATCTCCGGTGTCAATTGAAACTTAACCTGGTTTATCTGGAAAAACAAAACAAGAGAAAACAAGTCAGTTGATCTCAAGCTAAACAGTCCAGTACTACTAGATCAAACATGGCTTTGTAAAATTGAGAACCCAATATAACAGTTAAATAATATCAGGTTGGCTACATGAATCAAAAGAAGCTAGAGATCTGTATTAAAACCATTGTTACATCAAATGTATTAAAAAATAAATAAATAAATAAATAAATAAATAATAATAATAATAATAATAATAATAATAATAATAATAATAGAGATTAATTACTATGCACTATCGTGTAAAAAATTTACACCGTCAATTCATCACTATCATCCGTCAAACTCTTCCCAACATCCAACGGCTATGATTAACTGACAGTGCATAATCCTTTTACACTAACAGTGTATTTCAATTAAATTCGTAATAATAATAATAATATATAATAAATAATAAAAATACAAAAGCACATAGATCATACTCTTCACCTTCACACACTCAATACACCACTCCACTAGAATTTATTTACAGGATGATCTGTGGCGCCCAGCACCAGTGACATCCTCCAATAACTTCTTGAATTATATTACCGTTGTTGAGTCTACAACTTGTTTCACTTGAATTTATCTTTTAAAGAACAAATTTGATGCTCTCACCATTTTTAAACAATCCAGAGCAATGAACGAATTACAGTTTGGTTCGTCTATTAAGTCTTTACAAACTGACTGGAGAGGTGAGTTAAACCCTTCTCCAAATACTTGGATGATCTAGGGATTATTCATAGGTTGTGATTTGTGCCCATACTCATCATTAAAATGGCGTCATAGAACACAAGCATAGACACATTGTTGATCATAGTATCACCCTCTTAAGTTGTGCATCTCTTCCCTTAAATTTTTGGGATCGTGCATTTCTAATTGTTATGTATCTCATTAAAAATGCACAATAAGTACATGCTTCAAATGAATTATCAACTTTTATTTCATAAACAATTTCCTTTTATGGAGGTTTGCCTATAAATGCAGAAGTTCATTAACATAAGACGAAAATCTACAGCATCTACTTATTATGATATGCATGTGCTAGCACCTAGCAGTAGTATTGATATGCTATGTTCTTGTCAGGTAAATGTGGAGTCACTAGTCTTTTAAAGGATCTGAGATTCAAACATGAGAGGGTTAGATTATCATCTCACCAATGAAACTTATTGAACTCAACAACTCTAAAAATAAATATGTGGGGCCCAAATAAATTTAATGGTGAGATGATGAACATAATCCTCTCATTTTTTAATCCTCTCGTGTTTTATTCAAACATGTGAGTTCTCATGTTTGATTCAAACATGAGGATCCAAATCCTCTTTTAAATACAAGACCATGCATACAGTTTGCATTGCCTAATTTTCCAAATCAAACTTTGTATTCTCTTCAACTTATTTATTCCTTCAAACAATTGAGAAAAGTATGCAACTTAGCAATCATACAACAACAACCAAGCCTTATCCCACTAGGTGAGGTCAGCTACATGGATCAAATTACGCCATAATGTTCTATTAAAGACAACTTAGCAATCAGCATAAGACTTAAAAGGCCTAGCCATTAATGAAGAGGATAATTTTGATCCCATTATTCCCATAAGAAGATAACAAACTGGGTTTTAAAATTTTAAAACTCTAATCACTTACAAAGAAAATGACAAACTAGATTTCATCTTGAAACATTCTGATAATTTCTTTGACTACAATGACAAATGAGGTTAATAGCTTTATTTGGGTTTTGCTAACAAGAACATATCTATTACATTCTAATCTCCAGAACAATCGGCTTGTTTCATTAGTGTTAGAACACTTTATAGTAAATATGATATACCCGAGCACAAGTTTAAAAGTTATTCTTGCAAACTGTAATACAAAACTATTTAACCATACTCTTTAGGTTCAAAGCCCAATTGTCATAGAATTGTCACACAGTAAAAGATTCCAAAACCTGAGTTTTGTGCTCTATACCAGATGAGAATAAGTTTTTTTCCTTTACAGTATTCAATTCAATGCAGCTTTTAAACAATTTCATAGCTGCAACAAACAGTTAGCTATATAATGTTCTCTTGACAAAAGAAAATGATATATAATGTTCTCATGATGACATCCAAATACGAAGATACACATCTAAACCATAAAAAACAATAGAGCACCAATGCAGAAGAGGAAGATGTAGTACCATACCCGACCATCACTAGTAGGTTTTGTGTCGAAGATCAAAGAATTTTTAAATCCAATCCTTTGTTTTAACTTTCTGCTTTCATCTTGGTCGAGCAATTTCTGTAAAATGTGATATAAATATAAGAGTAAACATTCAATAAGATGAAAAGAAGAATTTACAAGGAATCGGAGCGATAGATATCCCTCCACACAAAAATGAATACATAGATAGAGTAAAGCTATCCAGTCTCTGCATATCTATTAGAGTAACCCATTAAAATGACCACATCCTTTACTGAAATATTTGATTTGCAAAATACTTCACAAAATGAATAAAAACTCTTTCAATCATCATAATATCAACCAAAGATTTCCAATTAATAAATAAATACCCCAGGGGAGTGTAACATTCAAATGCTCTCAGCAAGCAAGGAATAATACATTACATAGTAATATATTCAAACACTTTTACCTTCTTTGTAGCCCAAAATTCTGATTCTGTAAGCTTACCACTAGCCACAAGTTCTTTATGAAGTTTCTGCAACTTACTGCAAAAGTTGAACTTATAGTAAATAAAACATAACATTCAAAATATTACGATCATCAGTTAATACAACTGAGTGACATTTTTGAGCAAGGACGATAATAAATAAATGGATAATTTTTAAGGAACACCCCAAAAGCAAAGAGGAGTTTGCAATAAGAACTTTAGTGGATGATCATAATAGTAAACAAAACTTCCTCTTAAAAAATGGAAGTGCAATAGTAAAAACCAAATACCTATCTTCTTGCAATAGCTTAATTCTCAGTGTCATTTCAGAAGCGCTAAGCTGTTCATCAGAAACAACTTTTGGTGGTTCTACATACTTGCTAAGGGCACTACCTGCTCAAACACACCAAACAACACATTGGAAAAACATATATGAAACAACTGAAAATAAAAGTATATACAAAAGAATAAAGAAAGGGAATAAAAGAAAATCATGACAACTCAGAATCAGAATCTCCTTTGATATTATTTCATACCATTTTTGTTAAAATTTGCTATTTATAAATTATAATTGCATTAGAAAAATAATAGAAAGGTGGATAACATGCTCAAATTCTTTAGAATATAAATTATTTGGTGATGCATCACTTGTTTGCTCAGGCATATGTATTGACATGGGAACCTTTTGATGTGTTTAATCAATGAAAAACCTTTTGAAAGAAACTCTAACTCTAACTTTGAAACACAAGTCTACTGCCAAACATTTAAACATTGTAATAGCGCATCACTCTCAACCTCAGGCAAAGCACCATTGTTCCGCAATTCAAGAATGACCGTTTAGTCAAATAAACCACATAAGATTTTAAATTCAAAAAGAAAATAACAGCATCAAAATCATTTTTATAGAAACTTACCAACCAATTCCCGGCAAATATGAAGATCTGAAAAGCTTTCAAATTCAAAGATGTAACTTCCCTGGAACATCACACCATATAATTACAAAATTCATTTTAAGAAACAAACATTACTCACATAAAATACGGCACTACTAAGTGAACCATAGCACGCGGAATGAAACGGATAACTCAATAGTGCAGTGTTCAAACAAAAAGAGTAATTAAAAAATCCAATAAACACATCACTCAGACTACATTGACAAATGCAGAAATAAACTAAAGAAAAAAACCTGAGAATGTGCAAGGTTAAGCCACGGCGGTTTGTTCGAACCCTCTTTGGTGTGTTTATGATCTAAATTTTACAATCAGAATACAAAAATCAAAATATGCACACAACACATGTTCTCAATAATTAATATCAGCTTCGAGCTTGTTAAGTACTTTTAATCTGAAATCAGTTTACATAAACAATAGTTGATAAGTACTTTTAATTAATCTGAAATCAGCTTCGAGCTTGTTGCTTGATGTTGGATCGTTAGGCTTGAAAACAAACTTTTCTCGAGTCTGCAGAGTAAAAACCATGAACCGCCTTAAAAAATGGCAATGTGAATGGAAATTGGAAATTGGAAATTGTTAAAGGAACAAGAGAGACAGGGATAGTACCAATTTGAGTACGCCGGGAGTGCCAGGATCTTTGACAGTGGTTTTGTATTTGGCACGCTTAACAACTTGTTGCGCCGACGACATCGTTAACCTAAAGTAAAACCGCCGGAGAATTCAGTTCCGCTGGCGGTTCAGTGCACAAAAAAAAACTTGTAGGATCGAGAAATCCCTAATTGGAACTATCGCTTTTGCGAGAGAGCATTCTACTCCACGTTGTGGGGAGTGGGAAGAGGGAGAATCGCTATTTATATCTGTTTGATTGGATGAAATTGGAGAGAAAAGGGAAAAATTATGTTCTAAGTTTCAAGAAACCGGGAGAGGTGCCGGCGGATGCCGCAGCTTACTCCCTTCGATCAAAAAGGACGATAAACAACGGTGTTGCCTGCTATCAGAATATTATTAATATAACACATTAATTCAAAAGAATGTGTTATTTTTTCGTTACTCCTCCGCACAATATACTTGAACACGGGTCGGATCTAACCTTTCCAACTCGTTCAATTTTTTTCACTACTATTAGTATTTGATTTATTGAATTGATTAATCCAGTTCAAAAATCAATTCGGACATTAAAGAATTGCTGTTGTGAAAATTAAATCGTGATCCTCACTCTGAATTAAATTCAGAGTTAACTACAACTAAACTAACTCGTTCACTTTTTAAAAAAATTTGCTTCATATTTAAAAAATTATCGTCACCATTTATTTAATTTAATTTAATCAAAATATTTTTGTATTATATTTAAAATAAAAAATTTTAAAAATTGATAACTAATATATAAGCTACTCGATGATTATAATAAAGATGAGTTTAGGCAATAATGAAAAATTGTAACTTAAAATAAATAAAATAGTTGTCTATTCTACTAAGTTTTTCGAAAGTCTTTCTACTAAATTATCATGTCTATATTTATTAGAATAAGAATAGCTTAGAACTTGATATAGTCTTAAAACCGACAACTGTTAGCTTGAGTGTGATCAAAACCTACTACAATAGATCAACTAGTTACTATGTGAAGTAATAGTTGTAGATAGTTGTAACCAATTGATTCAGTAATCAAAAGTTATTTACATTCTGAAATGAAAATCCTAACTAATTGTTCTCTCTAATCTAATACGTTATTAGATTGCTAGATTGTGATATATGACCTGGCCATGACTGGACCACCACAACCATCTCAATTGACAGCGTCTTTCGCTCATCTTTGCATCTCCACCACTCAGACATTGGCGTTATCGAATTTCAATGAGAAATCCAACTGCCTTCAATTTTCACCCAAAATCGCATAGAAACTTGATGAGGAGAACTTTCATCTACAACGTCTATATATCAAACCATATATCAATGCGCATAATATCACTAGTTTATGGATGATGATGCTCGCATTTTAGGTAAAGTGTGTCATGAATATTTGTGATGGCTGCAGAAATAGCAAATGTTCCTCTTCTGGCTTTAATCAACACTCGAACGAAATCCTTTCGCGTGTTCTTAGTTACACTCATGCGCATCGGTGTGGGATCGCTTGTTCAATTATTTTCAAAGGCAAACTTGTGCAAGAGCTAGATAACTTTTTGTGGAGCTTTAAGCTCTGACACTTGACAATTCCTCAATTCAAAAATATTTGCTCAAAGTTTGCACTATTGTGAACTCCCTAGCTTCAATTGGTGAGTTAATCCTTGTATCTCATCACATTGATGTTACTTTTGAAGGTTTAACGTCATATTTTGCTCCAGCTGTTTTGTTTATTGAAAGTAATTTTGAAACGATGGACTTAAATGAGGTTGAAATCCTTCTTCCTGCTCATGAACTACGTCTTGCAAAGATTAAGAAACATGTTATACATGATCTTGTATCTCTTAATCTCACTCATGTTAGTTCACAACTCTGAAAAATGTGAATCATATTAGTGTTGGTTCTTCTCCAGATGCCATTTTTCCTCATAATCCTGACAATGACGCACCTACTCGCATAATTTTTGTGGTGGTAAAGGTCCATGTGGTGGTCGTAACTGTTGAGGTAGAGGTGGCATATTCTCTAATTCCAATGTTCAGTGCCAAGTTTGGACACACGGTTCACAACTGCTGGTACAAGTTCAGTCAACACTATCAACTTACATCACACTTTAGTTCTTCTTATAACTCTTCAGCATGGCTAGTTTCTCATAATAACTATTGATCTTTTTCACTAAATATGTGGACAAAGCCTTCTCCACAATCCAAGCATATTGCTACACTCTTATCACCTAGTGCCTTTGTTTCCAATTATATTTTTTCACCTCTCGAACCCACTTCATGGTATCCAGATTTAAGGGCTTCATTTCATGTCACTAATGATTCCAATAACCTTCAAAAATTGACTTCATTTGAAGGCTATGATCATATTTTCATTAGTAAGGGATATGGTTGAAGTTGATTTGCCCTTTATGGCTTTGGATTTAATGTTTGTCTCATTTATTGTCGTTTATCATTTATCAATTTCATAATTTAGTCTCATCTGGTTATATCTTTATAAATATCTAAGAATTGAATGTATTGGTTTTTAAATGGTATTTTGCATTAAATTGTGTTTTGCACACATAAATCAAAGTATTTGTATTTGAGTATGATCATCATGATGTAAGCCAATTGGTTATGTTAATAGAACAAGAACCATATTTGAGGTTGGTTCAAGTTATTTAGAAAGTGGAATCTCAAACAATTTTGAAAAACTTGAAAATTTGAGATTTCATGTGTGTGACTTGAATCATGCACAATATCTTACTCGAATCAAATCTAATAGGAAAAATACAAGAATCTTGTTTCTGTGATTAAAATCACATATTAGACTTGATTAAAATCATGAAACATTATGACTCAAATCACAAGATATACATGATTCAAATCACACAAGCTTCTGTTAGCCACTACTCAGTTTGATTCAAATCACAACTTACATGCGACTCGAATCACACAGTTTCACATATTTTCCTGTTGGCCCTGTCTAATATGACTTGAATCATAGTTTTTACTTGATTTGAATCATGACCCTTCATGACTCGAATCATATTTTTAACTTGACTTGAATCAAAGGAAAATGGGTCACTTCTTTTTATGTTGATATTGTTCCACTTTACTAGTTCACTTGACTAAAAGTAACAAATGTTGTTGACTCAAATCAAATATAACTTTTTCACTCAATTTGTGCATAACCTTAACCACTTATATTAATCATTTTCCTCTCTCCCTCACCATGATTATTTTGAGATTATCATTTTTTATTTCTCACCAAAATAATGAGATTGATTATTGTGATAATCATATCTTTGAAAGTCTTTCTAAAAACTTGGAAACATATTTTTAAAGAACGCCTTTTCATATCTATCTTTAGCATCTGAACCCATCATTAACCACTAGCAAGATTAACATAATTATTGCTTCTCAATTATAGGGAATGTGAGATATATTGTAGACAAGGTTAATACATGTTGATGTTTTTGAAGTTCTTGAGTTGATGTGTTCTTTAGACACGTCATCGCTCAAGAAATTGGTGGGATCATGGGAATCGCCACATACAAAGACTCAGAGCAAGTTTGTGAATATGGAAGATTTAAGTCGAGATCATGTGGATCTTGCAAGATCGACAAAGCAGATACTGTATGCAACAAGAGAGTATCAAGATAAGAAGCTAGCGATCTTCAGGAGTATCTTGTATTAAGTGGTTATATAATTTCTGTAAAATAATTGTCATATTATTATTATCAGAAGACTAACAAGTTTTTTAATGGGAAACCATTGAAGAGTGAATTAAGCTTATGTGATGACGATAGAGCTAAACCACTATATATTTAGTGTACTTTTTTTCTTCCTTCTCCCTCTTTAATTTTCTGCATAGTTTTGTATTCTTAAGTTTGTATTGCTTTCATAGAATAATATGTTGTAATAATTTTTCGCCTTATAGAGATTTCGTGATTAAAGTTTAGGTATGTGATAGATTTAGTCATTTGAATACTCTCTCTTGCGATTATTGTTGTATGAACTCTTGTTAGATTGATCATTGGACTAGTCAAATTTAATTTGAGCTTCGTGTGAAAATTGAATTATGATAATTGTTGAATTGCTTATTTAAGCAAATTCATATTTCTCATTTTTTATTTATTTATGATAGACTGAGTTAACTCCATTTAATCGTATGCTTTATAAATTTGTTGATGTCTTTTGCTTTTGTTGGTTATATCCTCTCATGGTAACAATGATTGACCTCAGACCATGTAATTTGTGTATCTATTGGAAAAACTCTGATTTTATAAACAGAAATGTTTTTGTAAATGATTTTAGGGGAATGGTATACCCCCCCCCCCCTCTAGACCGTTTTAATCCCCATATCCTGCACCAACAAGTGGTATGAGAGTTGATCTTTTTTATCAGGTCCAAACAACTCAAAAGTTAAGGATACGAGCTAGAACGATTTGAAGGGTGTGTTTAGTAGAGCTCCTAAATTCAAATAGTGGAATTTATACGATTAAATAGATATAATATTTCTTACTTGATATTAGTTTATTAAATGACTTTGAGTTATGTGAAGTAGTTTAATATCATTATGTTAACAATTATATAATTATATGTTATAATTTTAATGTGACTTTGTCTAACCGGGATTGGGCTGACAAAGTGTTAAAGTATTGTGCATGAATGTCCACTTAGCCACATCACTTGAATTCGTTAAATATTTCAATTATGTTTATAAAGATGACTTACCATGAAGCTTAAAGCATCTTAATCTAATTAAAAGGAAATAGAAAAGGGTTGTTACAAGAAAGTAGAAGTATTTCCTTGAAGACCTACTCTTCCAAAGTCATCATGAAGGAAGATGAAGATAGTTTATATGAAGATGTTGTGTTCGTTAATTGTTCAACAAGCGTATGAGAAGACTCAAAGTAACAAGCTTTTGAGAGAGCCAAAATTTTGTCAAATGTTTTATTAAGTTATCCAAGCTTCTCGATACAAAGTTCAAGCAACAAAGTAATTAATCATTGATGGACGGGAAAACATAAGCAAAGATAATTATATCATGTATCATTTCACTTCATTTGATATCCTTTTAAGGGT